ATTTTTATCATGCAGATAGCAGAAACCTCAGAGATGCTTTAACTGGATATAATTTCATTTGTGCTGATATCTGCTGTGTTCCAAGATAGTTCTGATGGCAGAAGTATGTAAAGTGGCTTCTATTAACAATTTAGTGTCAGATACAGATTAATAACATTCTAGTTGGCCTTTTTTTGCACAAATATGACCTCATTTGTATTATTCCTTAGATGAGAGAAGGAAATGCAGGATGCCAACTTCTAGCATTCTTCTTTGATTATGGAGACACTTTGTGTTCTGGAGCTCAGAAAGAAATGGGGAGACTTAGTTTCAAATGTTATCATCTCTAGGTTTGTCTGTTTAATTTGTTCAGGTCAAAGCAAGATACCTGTATCTAAACAGAGGGAGCATATTTTCTTTCTTTAGAAGGAAGTCCTACTTAAGGAAGCACATCTTTTAATATGAGCAGTTTTACTTCAGTGGAGTATTTTCATGAGCTCTGTGTCTCAAAATATGTGAAAATTTAAATGCAGGTACAGAAAGAACAGAGGAGGCTGAAACAAAATTGAACTACGTAGATCAGGTGGCTTTAAATTAAGACCTGAAAATAGTTATTTGAGACAGTGAGATGAAAGAGACATGAAAAAATACAGGTGCAAAAACGTCTGTTCTTGCATGCAGGATTGGACAGCTTAGTAAAGGCCAAAGAAGGCAAGAAAGCAAAAATGCACATTAAAAGAAAAGTAATAGAAAGGATGCATTTGAAAGAGTTGAGTCAAGGAGGCAATAATATGAAATCAAATAGACTAGAAGATCAAAAGAAGCAAATTTGTCCTTCAAAATATTTGAATTACTTGAAGTATGAAGAGAAAATCTCAGGTATACCTGTACCTACTGGAAAATGTATAGGCAAAGAACTCACTTGACCCAGATCTGCCTTGCAAACAAATTTTGGCTGTAGCATATTAACAAACTCCTTTCCTTAACTAAAAGCAGCTTTCACTGGCAACCAAGTATGTCTTCAAATATTGGTTCTTTGGGGAAAAGAAAGAGTTGACTGAAAAAGTACCTCTATAGCACTAGAGTTACTGCACTTAAAATTGCTGTGTAGTTTGAGATTTTTAGAGATAGTTTCTCGTCTTGTCCTGGTTATTAATGTGACTGTTGGTTTGGTTTCAGACCTGCATGGAAAGAAAACAAAAATGGTGAAGAAAATTCAATTTTCTGTCTTTGTAAGAAAATTGCAAACAACCGATGAATATTAAAGATCTTCTGACAACATGGTTCAAAATGATACTAAATTCCAGATTTTAGATTTTCTGTAAAGAAAAGGAGGCAGGAAGACTGCTGCTGAGGTGTCTGAGCAGGCTGGCTTTTTTGGAGGCTGATAGAGCTTTGGTCTGTGTAGATATTCTGGGTAGGTTCGACTGATTCACGGGAAAGACAAGCCACTTCCCAATCTCGCAGCCAGAGAACAGGGAATGCCTTGCTTGCTTGGAAAAGTGGCAACCAGCTTGTGCTGGTTCTCCAAGCGTAACAAGTTATAGAATGAACACTGTTTTATGCCAGTGTAAGCATATTTACATTTGGGCTTCTGCCACTGAAACTCCTTTTAAAAGGAAATCAGATCTCCTGTTCCTGTGCAGGCATAAGTTTCTCTTGGCGTAAGCTTATGAAAAATACATACAGTTGCATATTATTCATAAAAAAATTGAAGTTCAAAATAAGGTGAGTGAAAACCAAAGTATAAATCCAAAGAGCAAAATTATGAGTTCTGTAGGTTTCTAAGACAAAATATCTGAATTAGGGAAGAAATCTGAGGAACACAAGCCTCATGTATATGAATGAGTATGCATTTTTTCATATCCTTGTTAAGCCATTTGTTTTGTTGTCGTATATTATTTTCTTTAAAGGAATCTGGCATGTGAAATGTATGTATATCCATGCCTTAGCGAAAAATGAATTTAAACAGTTTGCATATCAGCGGTAGCATTAGAAGTTCAGATTTTTTTGCACAAGGACTAAGGAATTATTCTAAGAAACCTATTTTGTGTGGAGTCTTTCTGAGTTTTATATTTTAATTTCCTAAAATGGTTTTTATCTGGGATTTTTGTTGTTGCTGCTTTCTCAGAGAGCTGGCAGGGTAAATGGCAGCTGTAAACCTAAGGGTAGGCTGCAAAGCTTTGCTTCCAAAGCCTTCCTTTCATGTTTAGCCAAGTGAGAGACAGGGAGTGAAATGTAAACTGCGGCTCGGCGTATCCTCACGGCCATCTCTCCTGGTGAACAGCCAGAGGGGCAGAAGAGGGGCTGACGCTGCCCAAGGCTATTAACCACAGCAGTCCAGAAGGTACTGGCCATGAGATGTGGCTCCCACGTTGCTCAGAGGAGGAATGTGAAGATGGTGCTTGAGGGCTTTTGATACCATACCCCTGAGAACAGCAGTCCCCATTGCACCCACTCCTTTCTCACTTCATCTTCCTCCAGGGACAGAAGGAAAAGGCATTCACTTCTCTTCTGAGTCGTTTAACTCTTTCTCTGTAATCCCTGGCAGTCCAACTGGGAACCGTGTTTTGTTGAACTTTGTTCTGTTTGAAATTACAGACTGGAAGCATTTCTGTCTAACGTGGGAAACGAGCTTTGCGGAAACTGAAGCTATGCACTGGGAAAGGAACTTCCGATAAAACACAAACAGATGTTTGCACATTTGAGTGCAGATTTGCTCATGAGAGGCTTTGTGATAAACTGCATAAATGCAGTATTGAGTTCTAACAATGATGACTAATTGATGAGTTTCATTGCTTTGACATGATCTGCTGTGTTGGCACTCCTGGTTTATTTTGATTTTGTTTGTTTTTAATAAGATTTTTTCCAACTGTATTTTATATACAGAGCTAACCTTAAAGTTATTGCTCAGTATGGGGACATAGAAAGCTTTGTCCTGTGACAACAGGGTGATTGCTGGGAGAAATCAAGCTACTGCCTCTAGTGCAAGAGAGATGCCTGTGTCACAGAGTAGCCGTAATTGCTTGGGGCCCTTTTGCTACCAAGGGATTCTTTGGCTTGTAATCACTGAAGGGCTGTAATTTTTGGTGTTTTGATTGTTTCTATTGTGATGGAAAGAGATAAGCAAGCAGTGTTGCCTTTCTTGTCTAGAGGTGTGTTTCTTTTTGCTTCCAGCCTGCCCTCTGCCCTGCAGTTCTCGCTGCACTTGTCCTTACTCCATCTACACTGGCTGCTTCTATCATTCTGTCTGTTTACTTCCTTCATTCTGTTTACTCTGCAGAGAGCACATAGGACTAAAAAAATACATATATACAATATTTTTTAGTTCCTCTATTGTTACCATTAATTTTCCCCTCAGTCAGTTGAGGTCCACAAATTCTTTAGTTGATGTCTTTTTCCCTATCCATGTTTGTACTGAGTGTGCCAGTGATGTTTATATGCAATTAAGTTCAATTGTCGTGGAAAGTATTATTTTCTTCAGTCTAAGATCACCAATTGTGAACAATTGCATAGATCCTGCTAATATAATATTTTTCATACCCATCCCGGATGCAGTAGAATGAACTGTGATTTTCCTGTGTTCATATGTAGATCTTACTCATCTGTACCTATATATTTGGCTTTCCTTTGACTGTTTTGTCTGGAAAAAAATTGTTAAATCAGCTAATCTTTGAGCTATTATTTTTCCATTCAAGGCATTGTTAATATGTTAATAAAATTATGTACAAAAATTAAAGATGTCCAAAAAAATTGGATAATATTAAACGATAAAATTATAAGTGTTAAATGTGAAATAAATTATCAACACTCTGTCTTCTGACCAATGGACAGACTCAAAGTGATGATTCCTTCTGAGAATTTCCTTGTATTGTGTGTACCTCTTGAGATATTGCAAGTCCAACTCCAATTTACAATCTGAGCTGGTAGAAGACTTGAGAGAAGAGACATAGCAAGGGGTAGATGAAGCGCATAACGTTGCTGACACTGAATTTCTTTAAAATTTCCCTTTTCCATAAGGGCTGGCATCAAAGATGTGAAGTAGGATGCTCTGTGTGACTATAAATGCTGGACTGTATTAGTTATGCAGGTTACTGCTGTTGGCATCAGTGAGCGGTTGAGCACCCCTCTGGGTGTTTAAAGTTGGAGAGAAAAGAGAGTTTTGAAGGCAGTAGCCCTAATACTAGTTGTAGTTGAGTTACGGCTCACTCTTGAAAAATTTGGAGGCACAGACTGAGCAATTAAAAAAAATCATACCTGCAGTGTGTATAAAGGTGGGTGCCAGTATTAAATTGAAATCTTTCTGGCATGCATACAAGAGCAGCACCAATGACCTATAGTTTTCAGATATTATGGTGGAATCAAGTGAAGGAAACCCAAGGATACACACCTTCAGAAGATCTTTCCCAGTAGTTCTTTTTAGCCATGCTTTTAAATAAATGATTGAATTAAAAGAATTGCTCCAGGATGAAATATCTCACCTTTAATAAAGTGAGATCTGTTTGTCAGACTGGAGAACACCACCTGTTCTCATCCTTAGCATTCTCTGCCCATGGAGTAAATAAGGTGAGAAGTGTAATAAGAAACTCAGGCAGGAAAAATGCCTTAAAGGTCTTACAGAAAATTTGTTATTCTAGTGCTGTATTTTCTTGCAGCATTTCCCTGTCAGATGTCTCAAATGGTCAGGTTATTTTTCAATTTGCTTGTTTTGTTTTGTTTGTTATGTTTAAGCTTAGTGAATTAGTACATGAGAGTTAAAGTATTATGGGTTTTATGCATCTTTTGTGTCTAGCAACATTGTAGCATTGTTGAAAATCATAATGAAACTTAGGAGGATGCTAAGACTGCGTTGAACTGAAGCTCTTCCTGCATGTTTGGGTAAAATGAGTAGAGTTATTGTCATAAAATATTTTCATTGTGTATAATTTTACTTTGTCATTTTATACAGTGTCATTCATAGTCTCCCAAAAATTATAATATGAATTCTGTTTAGTAATTCTCATCTAATTCATCTTCTTTAGGGTGTACCTCAGTTACCATGTGCCAAAGCATTGTATAACTACGAGGGAAAAGAACCTGGAGATCTTAAATTCAGTAAAGGAGACATCATCATTTTGCGTCGACAGGTGGATGAAAATTGGTATCATGGAGAAGTCAACGGCATCCATGGCTTTTTTCCTACCAATTTTGTTCACATTATTAAACCTTTACCTCAACCTCCGCCTCAGTGCAAAGCACTTTATGACTTTGAAGTAAAAGACAAGGAAGCAGATAAAGACTGTTTACCATTTGCAAAGGTAAAAAGAGAATACGATTATTATTTTCTTATAATAATTTCATTCACTTGAATAAGAAAGAAATCAACTGTTCTGTAGTCTTGTATGCATTTTTTAATGGAGCTGCACAAATATGAAAAGGGCAAGTAATTCTGTAAGTATTTCTCCTATGTTAGTTTTTCCTTCTCTTTCTAAATTACATGTAATTTCTCTGGGGTTTTATTTTTGAGAATGTAATTTTTCATAAGTACAGTAGCAACATTCTTAGTTTATGAGAAATAACCTATGTTACGAATTAAAAGTATTGCTTCTAAAGAAACACTCAACTGTAGATGTGAAAGAAGTCATGTCACTTACCCGTGTTCTTAAGTAGGAAAGCAGCATCTAGGGAAGATTAGATAATGAGTCAGTTGAGAAGGAAAAAGATTGTGGTTGTGTTAATTAGTGCCAAGGACTTAAAGCAGGGCTGATGAGTAACATGGACTGAACACGACAGGAAGTCAGGAGCTGAGGACAAAGTCAGATCACTCAGACGTGAGGAGTTAGTTGAACTGTGATAAACTAGGAAAAGGAACAGCTTGAACTGACTTCATCCCCAAAAGTGACATGTTCCTGTTAGAGTGCCTTCTCCGCGGTTCTTGTCCATGTACTGCCTCCTCTGATTACTCTGTGTTATGGAGGGAAATTAAATTAGAAGCTAAAATAGAGCTGGGAGACATAATCACTGCATGTTCACACAGGATGATGTCCTGACTGTAATTCGCCGTGTGGATGAAAACTGGGCAGAAGGAATGCTGGCTGACAAGATAGGAATATTTCCGATTTCATACGTTGAGGTGAGTAAAGCTGGCTCCTCAGTAAGGCTGTGCACACTGTGTTTAATTTTCTAGAAGGAAAACCAATCAATACTGATGATGATTATAAAAAAGCCTGAGATACAAATAATCTTAGACCTCAAATAATCTTTGAGAAAGTTAATGAATTCAGTAGTTGAACCAGTGATTTTTACTTAGCTATTTGATACCTATTTTCATTGAACGGAATTGGAATGAGAGTATTTGGAGGCACTCACAATGTTTTCTTGTTAATACTGGAGTAATGCAGTCTATCACAAACCACACTTAGCCACAAAATGAAAGCAGTCAGCAAGGCAGAGAAGTAGTAAGCTTAGTGCTGGCCCTAATACCTGCCTCTCAAATCCAAATCAGCACAACTGGGAAGTCAAAGAATATAGTGTTCAATGGTGTTAAGTGGGTAAAGGATTGGTTTTTACATCCAACAGAGCTGTATATAAAGTCTTCTGTATCTTCTTGTAATTCTCGTATGTGGTACAGCAATTTATAGTAAGAGGTAGCAGTTGAGAAAATTCCTCCAACCTTTTAAGTGTTGAAAGCTGCATCATCTATATAGAAGATATTGGTGATTAGGAACAGTGTGTACAGCTGCAACAATGATGATTCAAATATGAATTGAAGAAATATGCAGAGGATTGGAATTGTATTTGTCTGTGTTTCATAGGTATGCTGTGCATACTTGGTAAGATACACTTCCTGCACTGACAGTGTTTTATTTAAATAAATGAGGCAAAATGGTGACAGGGAAAAGTATTTTCACATTACCTGTGAGATGAGAAATATGTCCTTCAGGTCACGGAAGAAATGTGTAACCATACTAAGAATCAAGTTGGGTTTTATTAATTCAATTTCTGAATGCCATAATGAGATGAGAACTTCAAAAAAAATTACTGCTTTCAACAAACATAGAATTTATTATTTTTAAAATTGAAAAAATAGATATGTATATAGTTTGATGTAAGGATCTGTATAGCTGGGGATAGAAAATTTCACATGACTGTAAAAACAAGAAGACCAAAAAGAGTTTCAACTTGCTTAGTGCAATTCTGGCTTCAGTTTAAGAAGTTTTTAAAAGCCAGTTTAAGAATTTCTTGGCCTTGGGTATTCTCTCCTAGCTTCTTGCAATTAACTGCCCCTTCAGCCAGTAAAGCTTTCTGTAGTGCTTTTTCAGACTAAATCACTTCACTTAGCCAAGTTAGAAAAAAACCCTTTCCTAGGGCTGCCATTTGGACTAACTAGCTAACAACTGCATCCCTGTCTCTACAAAAGTTTGCAAAAAGGAGATATAGTCTTGAAAAAAATGATGTCAAAGTCACAAAACGTATTTTACTGTTAATGTTTTCAGACCAATTCCATCAACTAAGAAAATGTATTTCCAATTAAGCCTTTTAGAACAGGCACCAACACTTGTGTACCCTCTCTCAAATCCCCACTAAAGTGGTATGGGAGGTCTAGAACAATAACACCCAAAGAGATAGTTCAAATAAGATAGGGGAGTAGCATTTCCTAATCCTGTAATCATTGCCTATTTTTGTTAGTATGACATTTTGACAGATACTTCTTGTATAATGATGTCACAGGATAAAATTTCGGATAATGTTGAATACCATGAAAATCTCTGATTATATTTGAGGACAAATTTTGCCTGGAATAACATTTTATGTTTCGGTGTTTGCTAGTCTGATCTGTTTTTTTATATTGATTTCACTAATTAAATTAAATAATTGAAATTAAATAATTAAATAACTAAAATTAAATTAAATAAATAATGAATTAAATAATAAATGCAAGACTTGAGCACATTTTGAGAGAATTTTAATACTGATTCTATTAAAAGTATGGTTTGTTAACTTGATTCACAAAACATTGTCTTTAGCTGTAGACACTTAGCACTGTGAAAAAATTACTTCTGTCTGCAAATGAAAAGTAAATAATGCGAACATATGCAAAAATATGAAATTCTGTTTTCTAATTCTAATTTTCTAATTAGTTTGGGTTTCTGCTAAACCCAAACTAACCCTCTAGTTTTACTAGAGTAAGACCTGATTAATATATTCAAATTACCAGACCTTTGACTGTTGAAATTTCAAGGTACTTGCATTAAAAGCAGGTCAGCCAGGTTCTTGCATAGTAATGAAATAAAATGCAGTGAGTTTAGACACTGTATGATTAAGTTCATAACACTCATGTTTATCTCTGTTCCAAAAAGAAACATTAATTGTAACTAAACAGATATTATTAGAACTTTCCTACATAGATTGCAGTTCTGAGTATAATATGCATTTCTTAGACCACAAATTTGACATTTTGATGTGGTTTAACACTTCATAAACACACTCCACATCTAAGAAATATTTAAATTTTTACAGCTTATTCATCTCTCATGCAGCACAATGATAAAAATATAAATGCCCAGAATAGAATAAAAATGAGGGAAAAGGAATCACTTCTCAGTCAAATTGTCAGTACAAAATAATGTCTGGTTTTGTTTTCTCAAATTACCATGTTCAGCTGGGAAACACCTTTGTATTAATCCAGGTCCTCTAGCCTTATTTATAAACAATCTTAGAGAAATGTAGGAGGGGAAAATGCCAAATTATCTAAAATGTTAACTGTAGTAGAATTTTAAGTTCACGGTCATTTTTTATGTCTGCATTCATCAGTTGACATGGTATTTTAATCAATGAGGACATAAGATTTAATGTGCCTAGTGTGTCAGGTTGGGGTTTTTTTCTTAGCGTCTCCTCCTCAATTACTGTTGTTTATTATACCAGAACCTGTAATACAGACTATTTAATTTGTTTCAAAAATTGATCTAAATGCAGCTTTGCTCATGATTGTGGTCTGTTCAAGGATCTTGTCTGAAGAAATTATTCTTCCACTAGTTTGGGCTAAATATATTTGTTTTGACGCTTTAATAGCATAGTTGAATTTAGGTTTCTTAGCTATTATTTATCCTCCAGGGTGATGCTTAACTCCAGATAAGGATAAGTGTTTTAGTTCCACTTTACCCTTTTTTTCCAAATATATGTGAAAAAGAAATGTCTAAGAACTGAAATTCGAGTAATAATTGATGTAAGGTGGTGTAGTAAAATTACACAAATAAAAACTTTGGATGAAGATGAATAAAAAGATCATTTGAGGGAGAAGATGATGCTTTTGCTTAATTTCGTGAAGTGATGATATTTTAATTCTAACTACCTTCGTGTGAGTGAAGAACAGCTGAATTTATTTGTAAAATAAGTATAGCAAAGCATAACAGTAAGAGACCTTGAAATAGGTCTTGCATGGTGGTCTCCCTGATAATTTCTGCAGACAGCTGCAAAGCAGACCCAAGGCTATCTGCTGGCCTCAGCCCTTGCTGCAGCACTGAGGTGCAGCTCAGCCAGCTGCGTCGGTCTTGCCCCCATTGGGAAAGTCGTTCTGTTTCCTGGGGTTTGATGGGAAGGGAAAGTGGATTTCAGGTTATCAGTTACAGCAAAGATTTTGTTGAATGGGACAAAAAGAAAAGTGAATATAAAAGTTAAAGAAGCTTCAGTGCAAAGAGACCTGTTCAGGAAAGCAACTGGTGTTGCAATGTGGACCTAGATAGCTGGGTGTTTGTTGCAGAAAGGAATGCTGCACTGAAACAGTTTGTAGTGTGACTGGGAGGCATTCCCATGGTGACCTTGAATGGCTGCTAGCCATATCATTGGAGAATGCATGCAAGTGCTTAGTTTCTTTTCTCAAGGGAGGAGTAGACTGCACTCTGCAAAACATTCTGCAGCTAGTGCTGTTCTCTGGTTACTTCGAAGAGAAGGCCAGTAGAGAAAGGAATGCTGCACTGAAACAGTTTGTAGTGTGACTGGGAGGCATTCCCATGGTGACCTTGAATGGCTGCTAGCCATATCATTGGAGAATGCATGCAAGTGCTTAGTTTCTTTTCTCAAGGGAGGAGTAGACTGCACTCTGCAAAACATTCTGCAGCTAGTGCTGTTCTCTGGTTACTTCGAAGAGAAGGCCAGTAGTCATTTCACTTCCATCTCCAGAAGGCCAGTAATCATTTCACTTCCATCTCCAGATTCATGCGAGATCCCATGCTTGCTTCTCTGCTTAAGGAAGCTCAGTATTCTGCTTGTATTTGAATCAGTTTTGAATCAATCCCATGGGCAAGCCTTAACTTTTCTCTACGAGGTTGTTCGCTTTATAGAATAATTAGATTCTGCAGGCGTTGACAGCTTCAGGAGGTAAACAAACATAATTAGCTGCAACAGGTACCTTGGGGTGCTGTTAGCAGAGTGGCTTTAGTTTTGTTTTTTATTCCTGGGCGATCCTTTAACTTTTCCCATTAGGTAGTTCTTGTTTCAGAAGTAATCAGAAATTTCTCTGATCTCCATAATTTGTGAAGAGGCTCTTTGCTAATAAGTAGATTAGATAAGAATAGAAATGGTTGCAGACATTGTATCAGACAATGTGGAGTACACATATTCTCAGGAAGCGCATAAAGAATTTCAGTCTGAGTTGGAAACAATAATATGTGCAAAATACATAAAATTATTAGTCTTTGAAATACCTGCATGCTCTTCCATGATGACAAATAAGACCCTAGCAGGATCAACAGCAGAGCAGGCTTTTTGGTCTTATTTTCTGCTTGTTTCATATCCTTCAGCCTCCTAATAAAATAATGTTTTCACTGGTCTGTTAAAAGTATGTTCATTCTACATTTAAAATATAATAATTATCGAAATAATGGGCTTAATTGGAGAAAGCTGTGTAGCTGTAGCTTCTGTATTGCACAAGTGATAGATTATTTTGTCCATAAGATCCATGTCCAGTGTTAGCAGGAAGGAAAATCTAGCACCCACCTTCTTAGGATTGTTCATTGCTGTGACATTGTCTTCTCCTGTGCTCTCTTCTTCCAAGAAAGATGGAGAGGGACTTTTTACAAGAGCATGTAGTGACAAGGAGAAATGGATTCAAACTGAAAGTATGTTTAAATTAGATATTAGGAAAAAATTCTTTACTGTGAGGATGGGGAGTCTCTGGGTGGTTGTCCAGTGAAGTTGTGGCTTTGCCCCATCTCTGGAGGTATTAAGGCCAGCCTGGATGGAGCTCTGGGCAACCTGGTCTAGTGAGAGGTGTCCCTGCCCATGGTTGGAATTAGATGATCTTTAAGGTCTCTTCCAACCCAAACCATTCTATGATTCCAGTTCTCTTGGGTAGGCTTCAAAAGGACCAATGATAAGAATATTTAGGAAAGGTTCTACACTCTCATCTTCATATCCTTTTACAAATCCCCCATTATGTCCCTCTTCCACTGCAGTATGTTCTATGTAGTTCTTCTTCTTCAAGTATTTCATAATTTTAATTTTCCTGCTGTTGCACCCTAAAAGAATTCTGTCAACTCCTCATTTTCCCAGCAATTCTACTTTTGAACATTGTCTTTTTTTTCCTGTATATGCATGAAATTTTCCTTCCAAATGACATCTTTCAAATACCACTTGAAAACCTTTTCTATATTAAAAATCATCTTTATTATTTTATACTACTTTTTATAAATCTACTTCTGTTCAGAGTATGTTTGTTGGTTCCCCCCTTCTCCTTACATAGCTTATGTTTGATTGTAAGAAGAAAATGTGTGGGATTCCATATTTCTTCATTGGAAAGGAAGGATTTGTTTGCATTTAATGTAGTAAGTATTGTTGTAACATACTAGCAGATAGAAAATCTCATTATGAACAAAAGTTCATTAGATAAATGTAAAAGAAGAAAAATCCATTTGAGGGTTCTTAGGCTCAGAGATGCTGCCTGTGCCTTAGAAAATTCAGAAGCTTTCCACAAAATTTCTCATATATGTTTCTTTTCTCCTTATACTGTCTTGTGCCTGTATAGCTACCTGTTGTCAGGCAGTATACTGATAGAGACAGATATTTACTCTGTCCTACTGTGTTCTTAAATCTGCATTTAGGAAACCTGTGGTTTATTGCTGGTAGTGTTGAAAATGCACACAAATACCAAGGGATACTAGGAGACATATCTTCAAGAGCTGACATGCAAAGATGTGGGCTTACGTCTTGCAGTCAAACAAAAAAAGGCTGAAAATGAAAATATGAACATTGAAGAAGTTTTGTGTCATAGATTTTTATTTTATAAGGTCAATGTGGATTGCTGTGATTTAGTCTGACTCCTAGGTGACACAGGCAGTGGATATTGCTGAATTAATCCATGTCTGGACTACAGCATTATGTCCTTTGTTGACTGAAATTTTACCTCTGCTGGATAGTCCACACCGGTGCAACAGTAAGTGTGTCGAGTTTATAGTGAATGATTCGTGACTCTGTAATGACTAATTTGTAGAGTAGGTCTGTATGTCACAATTTTAAGTTGCATTATTTAAATTCTGTTGTATTATTAATAAAAGGAAAGTAGATTTTTTTGTTACATTCAGGTTATTTTTATAAATTAATAATTACTAATATGTTACTGTCTCTTGTAGTTTAACACAGCAGCCAAACAGCTGATAGAATTGGATAAGCCCTCAGGTTCTGCTGTTGACTCTGGAGAAGGTACCTCTGGGGCAGCCCACAACAATTCAACCCAAAAGCACACTGATACTAAGAAAAACACCAAAAAACGACACTCTTTTACCTCCCTCACCATGTCCAACAAGGCTTCACAGTCTTCTCAGAATCGCCACTCCATGGAAATTAGTCCTCCTGTGCTCATCAGCTCCAGCAACCCAACGGCAGCAGCTCGCATCAGTGAGCTAACAGGACTTTCCTGCAGTGCCCCTTCTCAGGTAATGCACATGAAATCAGCTTATCAGATTACTTATTTCAAATTATTAATTATATGTAATTAATGTTAAACATATGATTTCACAAAGCTCATCTTCCAACACAGCAACATTTAAAGGGAAAAAATATATATGATAGCAAATAGTTTTGGTCTTCTAGGCTAATTTTTTTCACTGTTGTGTATTTTAAAGATTTTTATTAAACTGTGGAAACTAATGATTTAATTTTTTAAATTGAATATAATAATGAATATTAATGAGTGCCTGCTAGTAAAAGTAAAATATTCAACTTGAAGATTGCATGAATTCCAGAAATGTACCATATTAACGTGGTTGTGATAAGTAGAAGTATTTATCTGACTTTATTTATTTGTTCAGTAGTTTGTGAACAATTGGCTGTTTCACATAGCAATTACACTTTGGGAAAAGAGATAGTAATGGAGCCTAAGAAGTATTGGTGGTGTTTTACATGAGCTAGTGAATATGTTTTATTTGCACTTCTTTGGGATCTGACAGCATTTTATGAAAAAAAAGAAACCTGGCATTGGTACAGTGTTTCATGTTCCTGGTTCAGTACATCACCAAAGTTTCAGAAATGCCAGTGTGGAAAAATATACTGAGCAGTCTGTTCCAATACTGTTTGTGTGAGTATCTATCAAAAAATTAGTTCTAGTTACAGATAGTAGAGTACTGGTGATTTTGACCATGAAGCTTACAGCTGTATCAAAACCAACTCTTATTAAATAAACTATGCAGAACTGACCCTGCTGGGTTTTTTTTCTTTTTCACAGGTTCATATTGGCACAACAGGGCTGATTGTGACTCCACCCCCTAGCAGCCCAGTTACAACAGGGCCTTCGTTTACCTTCCCATCAGAAGTTACCTACCAAGCTGCTCTTGGTGTAAGTACCACTTAAGAAAACTCAGCCTTCCCATTTTAGTCTTGTACACTAATATTTTTTTCCCCTCAAGTTCTGATATACACTGATTTAAAATGATGGTTTTATGATGGTTGTCTATGTGATAGACAGTGGTATAAATTTAACTATAGCAAGAGCAGTACTGATACAATAATGTTTGCATCTTATCATGCATATCCATTTCTTCAGCTTTCCTCTGTAATTTCTCTGTAGTAAACACAAGATCCTTCCAGAACAGTGTTTCTGTTAAGCCTAAGTAGAAAAGAGATTATGTTGGGGAGAAGGTTAGAGGAAATAAGCAAGATCTTACAGGAAAAAAATAACTTAAGACTACAGCTGCCAGATATTTCTGTTTTACTTAAGAGTCTCTGCTGTCTCCTCATTAACCAAGATTATTTTAGTTGTGTGTATGCCTGTGGCAGATGAAGAACATATCTAGTATGTTTAGGTTAGATTCCTAGAGATCAGTAGGAAAAAGTCTTTCCGATGGCCATCCTCTAAAGGAAGAAATGCGTTGCAATGCTGTTTCCTTTGGACAAATAAAATCACATTGTCTTCAAAAAGTGCAGGATTTCTTTCCAAAATCAAACAAAATTCTTTAGTTTCGTATGCTCATTGTGAAGAAGCTCTGGAATGTCCTATATCATACTGCACTTATCAGAGCCTGACCTTAACTGCGGTAAAGATTGTGGATATCCATTTTCAGAGGTCTTCAAGGGAGCTTAATGAGACTTAATTTTGGTTATAGGAATTCTTGAAATTCAATTCTTGTTTCAAGTTCAAATATTGTACCCTTAACTTTTAAGGTGTGGGACACAGTTGAATAATAAATCTTCATTTTGTTTAAAAGCCAAAACAATCAACCCAAACAGAAAACCCCAAAGACTTGATCTTGTTCAGGTGTCTAATTATCCTTGCAACCTTTAAACCAAGTAAAACATGATGAATAGCTTTGCTGCAAAGTGTGTCTAGTTTTGTTTTCAGCTTCTCGCACTTGGATCACTTTACACATTTGTCTGCAAAGTCAAAGGCAGAATTGTCCATCTTCTGATATCAATTTTGTTTGAGTAAATGCTTAGGTGTGGTTTGGTTGCAGCTGAGAGGCTGCATTTTGTCAGGTTTTGTTGGGACTCATAAGTTAGGATTTTTAGTCCCTTAAATTATGATGCTGTCATTTTCTGAATTATCGCCAGTACTTTTTCTGGCATGGTAAAGCTCATGGTGGCACATTGCAGAACTGGTTACAGTACTACACAGTCTTTTTCAGTGATAAAATTTGGATAGTATGCCCTTTCATCCTGTTAGTCTGATGTTTACATCTTGAGAATTTGCATCCATTCATTTGACCTGAGTGTAGCATGAAGTTTATATTCAGCTAAATATCCACCTGGATCCCACAAATTTTTGTCATCTTTACTCATGTTGTAATTGCTGTTATCCAGGTAAATGTATTTCACATTCTTTGCTCTTCAGACAGATGACCTTATTATTGACAATTTTACAGATCATGTGCTTTTGCCCTACCTTACTGATTCCTTCAATCTGTGGATCGTCTGTGTAATTCTGTTGTTAAATATAGGCTAACCTGGAAACAATAATCACCTTATTTCATATTTTAATGTCACAGAGCAGTTGAGGTTGGAAGGGACCTCTTGAGGTCATCTAGTCTAACCACCCTAGCTAAAGCAGGGCCACCTAGAACCAGTTGCCCAGGACTGTGTCCAAATAGCTTTTGAGTATCTCCAAGGGTGGTGACTTCACAGCCTCTCTGGGCAACCTGTGCCAGTGCTCCCTCCCCCTCATAGTGAAAGACTGTTTGCTTGTGCTCAAACTGAGCCTCCTGTGTTTCAGTTTGTGTTTCACTTGGCACCAGTGAAAAGAGCATGGCTCCATCATCTAATACTTCCCTTCCGGTCCTTATGTACATTGACAAGATCCTCCTGAGCATTCTCTACGTTGAACAGTCCCAGCTCTCTTAACCTTTCCTCACAGGAGAGGTGCTCTAGTCCCTTAATTTTCTTAAGTGACTCTTCACTAGACTCTCCAGTGTGTGCATGTCTCTCTTGTACTGTGGAGCCCAGAACTGGATACTGTAGTCCAGGTTTGGGCTCATCAGTGCTGAGGAAAGGGGAAGGGTCACCTCCCATGAACTGCTAGCAAGGCTCCTCCTAGTGCAGCCCAGGATACCATTACCCTTCTTTGCCACGGGGGCACATTGTTGGCTCATGTTCAACTTGGTGTCCACCGGAAAGTATATCCAGGTCCTTTTTTTTGTCTGAGGTGTACATCTAATACTAGAAACAATTAACTGCTTATGTACTAATCTGTGTAGTCTTTTATTCTTTTATCCTGTCCTTCAGAGAATACCTGTGAGAACTGAGCTAAGAAACGCAGTTTTGGTATAATTTGTGCTGTTAGGCAGAATGGAGGCCTAGATAACATATATGCTGCAAGCATTGAGTAATTGATTTGATTTGTGGCTGAGATACTGAAGTTTTGGTGAGGATGGAGCAGTCAGGATTCAATGCATAATTTCAAAATTCTGTCAGAAGCTGCTTTTTTTTCCTCTCAATAACAAACACTTGTTGTTATTAAGAATCAGTTCTTTATTTGATGCCAGCATGGAAAAATACTTCATTTTGGTGCTGCTGCTGCAGTCATTAAACCACCTCGGGTGCTTTAGTTGCATAAGCTTGTTCAAAGGCAATCTCACCATTGGTACCCACAGGAATTAAATTACACTGCTAAATGCAGCATGGAGTGGAACTCCTGCCACATGATCGTCCTGTATCTTGGGGTGCTACTTTCTCTTTGTGATAACCATGTTCCTGCTTATGTTTCCAATTATGATTCCCATTCAGAACCTGAATTATTCTGTGCCACCCTCTTTAAAAGTCAATAATCTGTACATAATGTTCTGTTTCTTCTTGACTTGTTTTTAGCATGACTAAAATGCAAGCTGACAGCTTAGGTTAGAGTCAGGTCATTCCTGTGTTCTTCCACTATAGATGATACTAGATGATGATGCAGTTTATAAACTCACAGACTGTGAGGTATATCTTCCACTTTTGCTCTTGCTTCATAACCTCTTGTTTTCATTTTAGAGATCTGCAAAATGGTTCTGACAGGTCAAGAGAGAAAGTGATGTTCTTGTTTCTCTAGATGTTTCCTTTCTGGAAATATCCTTCCTGACATTCTGAGCATTAATATTAAGCTGAGGAACAATTGTGATGGTATGTTTTAATACATCAGGAGTGGTTGGCTTGAGTCCTTTGGCTTTTGTGTTTGTTCTTGTTTTTGTAAGTATAAATTACCTGTGTTTCTCTTAAGTTTCTCCTTTTAGCTGTTTTCTTCATTTCTGAATACTAAGCAAATGACAAGGGAATTGGATGGGAACAGGACAAGTTTCTCTTTGGCCTGAAGGTGGTTTCATTAGATCTCCTTCCTGCCAATCATATTAGTGTTTATAACACTATTGAAAGTAATTTTTCTTTGAGAGCAAGCAGTTAATACAACTTCTTTTATTTCATTCTAAACTCATATTAAGGGAGAAGGAATTCTGAGAGGATGAGCATGATTACCCAGCAGTGAAGAAGAGAAGGATATATTCCTTTACAGTAATTCTGAATTTATGTGTCTTTGCTGCATTTGTCTGTCCTGAATCTTGAAGCAAGGAAAAGCTAGTGTCTTCTCTTATCTCCTGTAAGGAAGATAACCTTTCGTTTGTCAAGAGGGGATATTTTGAGCTGTCTGGTGTAGCAAGTTTCTCTAAGACAGTTTGGATTAATTTCTAGCCCGAAAGAGCCTGTGACTCTCTAATCTGTGTACAGGCACAGGATCACACCTTAGTTTCTTACATTGTTATTTTGGGAAATGTTAGGGTCATTAAAAAATGCCAATTGTTTTAATTTATTTTGTCCATAATAATGTTTTGCAGATGTTGTTTGGTACCCAACATTGTATGAAGGAAATAATTTATAAAGTTGCAGCCAAAATCGATGCAAATAAGCTTTAGGATCGAGAGTGCTTTTGTCAGCTATCTGCTCCTTGTATCATTTAAGCAAATTTTAATTTGCATTCAGAAAACCTGTGATAATTTGTTGGAAAGTTTTATTCTACAGTGGCAGTACTTTAGCCAGCAGCATTAATTCTTGTTTTGTGTTTTGAAGTTTGATTCTTTGAAATTGAAGAAGTTATGAACTGAGACAGACTAGGGCTTTTGGCCGTGATATTGTCACTTACACTATTGTTTGGGACCACAACTTTACCCTTAATGGGGTCATTAATTGGTCTGCTCTTCTTGGCAGCTGGCATTTTTTAGCCTTGTACGTGCTTAGTATATGTGAAGTTGTTTGTATAATATAAATAACAGATGTCAAGTACAGTAGCTGCTGGGTGAAAATATGCACATACAATTACGTAAGGCTCGTTTACTTGAGAGGAAGTTCTTGGATGTAATTTCTAAGGTAGTTATCTAATGGAGAAGATCTAGTTGCCATAGATTTTGCAGAAAAAAAAATCTAAAAGTATGTGATTTGAACCATGATATGGGAGAACCAGAAACAAAATATACCACAGCAAAGTTAGAGTTACATTCAACAGCAGCAGCACCAGGAGAGAACTTATCCTTTTATTCTGCCTTTACAGTCTCTTGGGAAGTTAAAAGTGTTTTGGATAGAAATTGACATAGATGTCATTATTGCTACTCCTGCAGATTGGATATGTTGACTTTGAAATGGTGCCTTGGTGTGTGCACTTAAGTAGCAGAAATAGGTGGTCTATATTTGGATGGTTTACATTCACTTACATGCAGAAGGTTTCCAAAATTTTAAAAAAATCTAATTTTTCTGGACTTGTTCTCTAGCACACACACAGAAAGAAAAATTTCCCCTCTATGTTGAAGTGTATAAGGTAGTCTGAATTAGTATTAATGAGGCACAAGCTCTGAGGTTTATAGTATATTAGTGACATTTAGCTCTCTTTTATGTAGTGCCAGATGATGCAAGAGTGTAAGTCAGGAGGAGGTTTATATAAGAACTGTCCTAAATCCAGATCAACTTTTGTTGGGAAGAGGAAGCAGCTGAAAAAAGGTTTCGTATGAGGTTTTGTATGAGACGTCTATTCTTGATAACATATAGTTTAGGAATTTTGTGAAACATGAGCCTTAATTTGTTAGCCCTCAGGGAATTTTGCAAGCCATGTATTTTTTCCTAGACCTTGTGGGAGTGAAGACAGTTAATGAACATTCTTTTCCACTGTTTGTTTGCCATTTTATGTGCTGGAAAGTACAGCTGGTGTCTGAAAAGTAGTTGCAGAAACTTCAAATTCTCCCCCCTCAACTACTTAAAATAAAAATACTCATAACTGTTGTTAAGCATATTTTATTAAGTCACACACAGTTTGCATATATTCTTTCACAGAATGTTGATTATGGGAACCATCCAAACTAGTTTGTGCTCTGGAGGTAGGTGTGTTTCTCAACAGCTAGAAAAATGGTTACATGCCAGAAAACTTCCTGAAAACTTGGCCAGATGATTTGCATCTATTTTATCAAGTTGCAGCAGTGCAAGCTGAGGAGTGTTAGTCCTCTAAAGCCCATCAGGTAGTTTATTTAGATTTCTCAGTAGTTGCCAAGTCTTTAGGAGTTTAATTGGGCTGTGGCTCACTGCATGTCTCATTACCATGCTGATAGACATGGGGAGGGGAGCAGAACTTGAATAAAGCAGAATAAAATAGAGCTGTGAAGGTGCCTTTATTGCAGCTAAAAAATTCAATGCATATTATGTATTCAAATGAATAAAATACAATGCCCAGCACTTATATCTTTAAAGATGCAGGAAATGTGCAATTGTGACAACCATGATTTTGTGTGTGAATAGGTTTAATTTTAAAGAATTCGAGCTGATCATTTCCTAAGGTGGATTTACAAGTTCTGCTGTGTGTAAAGAAATCTAGGTGCCTAAAACCATATTTAAATTTGTATCCTATTGACAGGTTGCCTGAAAGATGCTTAGATTCAGCTAAGACTTTTGTTGAAACTGACTGGGAAGGGGAAATAACTTCAGCTGTAAAACAGCTGCAAGAGAAATGTTGGTATTTTAGTATGAATTATCTAGATATTTTGCAAAGATTGTTGGATGAATAGGAATCTAGAATGTGAAGCAAATGCAATTGTCATTCTTGTAAATAACTATTAGTATCAAAGCCCACAATGATGTTTCTCCAGTATGTCATGTCTATTTTGTGATGGATCCAAGAGGCCTATTTGGTCTAAGAAATAGGAATATTTCACAGTATACCATGCAATTTATACCATAGCTAAGCTCAAGAATTTTGACTGAAAAACTGTAAGAGTTGATCAGTTGTCTCCAGATTTGAAAGCTTTTAATTATGCAGTTCTTTGCTGTGTCTTGGCAGCTTCAAACTGGTTTATAGAGCTTCTTTTTATTAACACTTTCACCCAACGCAGTGAGGTAATAATCACACAGTGTAGGACTAAAACTTAGTTTCTATATAGGTTTTTGTTTAGAAAAACAAAAAAAATCGACAAACCCCTTTAGAACTAAACTGTTTGAGGGGAATTAAAATGTCTTTCAATTACATATTTTCGAACCTGCTAACGTAATGCTGTGCATTTATATGTTGATGTATTGGAAGCACCTGGCACTACCTCAGGATATTTTGTTAATAATATTTCCTTTTTGTGGATTTTAAACCTGAAGTGGCATGGTTTAGCGTTTTGTTTCAGTGTTAAAGGATTGTGTGAACTTGAAGATTGTGTTTGAAATAAATTCAGTTTTACATTTTCAAATGTTGGAGGTTTTTTTGTTACTCTTTTTGTGTGTGTTGTAACATAAATAATTTTTTTGGGGAGGGGGAAAAGTTCTCCTTTTGTGAGAGACTTTTCCCAGGAGTGTCAGTACACAAGGTCCTAAAGAATTGTCTGAGGCTTTACAGAGCAGAAGGTAACAATTGCTCCATTGATTCTCAAGGGGCACAGAAGTCTGTAGGCAGGACCCCCATTACGATCTTTGGTGCCTTTTTACTGGGGTATTTGTTAAAGATTACCAATCTTGATAATACTGAATTTCAAAAGCTAACCCTTTAAACTGGAAGAATAGGAGAAAGTGATAACAATAGCTCAATGACTGTGGGCTCATATTGTGCTCACTTTTGTAACCCATACATCAAAAGAAAATTTCCCCCAGAAGGGGTGGGTTTGGGTGCATTGCAGCTGAATTGTATATTATGTTTCAGCTTCAGGTTACAGAAACAACCATGTTATGAAGTACAGTCAGCAGCAGGATACAAAATCTACCTCCTGGAAGGCTTCTGAATTTTTGTCCAGCCCTATCCTAAAGATGTTATAATTAGAAACAATGTGTTCCTTTTTTTTCCCCCTGTGCTGAGAAATTGCCTGTCAATTGCTTACTTAGCTGCCAAAATTTCAAGATTTTAAACTGGAAAAAGAGAATTAGAGGCAAACCTAACTTTCTAGTTATATCATACCAGGAGGTAAAGGAATATGGAACTTAGATGGGGGTTTTTTTCATTTCCTTAAAATATCATGCTGGGGTTTTTTTTTCCCATCCCATTCAACTAATGAAACAATACTGATCATCTGTTGCTATTCTCTTTTGTTCTCATAAAATCAGAATATGAATCCCCCACTTCCACCACCACCTCTCTTGTCTGCCACAATCATTGCATCGGCTGCTTCTGGACCTCAGCCTACAGGTGGAATACAAAGGCCTACATCAGCATCCACTGACCAAATGGCACATTTACGTCCACAAAGTCGTCCAAGTGTGTAAGTAAAATTGAAACTTTTTACCAGTCAGAAAAATGGAACGAGATCAATAACTTCACCTGTATGTGTATCATAGCAGCTGGCTGCTTTGTGCTAGAATTGCCAGAAAGCCAGGCGTACAACTCAGGACAAAAGCAACAAAATTATACATAAAGGTGATATTCCCTAAACAGCCTTCATGCTGAGCATTGTTTATGTCTTGGATAAATACAATCAGCTGTTGCTGTGTATAGAAAGGGCTCACTTAGAAAACAGAAAGTATTTATCATGCAGAAGATGAATGAATTCTTGCGTTAGCGCGGAATACTGCATATAACTCACAAGTGTCAATTACTGGAGTGAATTTATTCAATGTTTTCCATTATGTATGGTATGAAAAGGCTGTTCTCATATGGAATAACTTGGGCCAAAACACAAAAAGTGCTGTCTTCATTTAGGCTGGTATATTAGCATGTTATTGTCAGTCTGCTTGTCTAAGTTGCAATAGCAGTTTGACCGAAGATTCTACAGTGCACTTAATTAGTCAGTGGCAATTTGGAATGAAGACAGAAGGCTGCTAGTTAGCATTATGTCTTCACACTTGTAATACAAGCAAATGTGCATCATCCTTCTGGGTGAAAATATTTTGTATATTAACATGTGCTGCTGACAACGTCTTTCTTCCTGAAAAGTTCTTTGTGTGAAGCTTGAGGAATAAGAACGATAACAGGAAAAATTCAGGAGTGACTGAACCATCCAATAGGACATGTTTGGATAATGCAAGGAGTGCTTTTGCTCTGTGTCTTTCTTGTCATCTTCCCACTAGGTTTCCTCCCACTCCAAAAGAGTGCCCTTCTTGTATAGCAGGTGCATCTGGATTTGAGCTGGTTCTTTCGTGTCACGCATTTTAACACTGCTTCTTATGGATTATTGTGCCTAGTACTGTTAATCAAGTTCCCATCTCATTTACTCCCATCCTCCATCTTCAAAGGGTTGCTCTCTATGAGGATACTAATGAAATTTGGAATGATTTAACTAAAAGGGCAGTTAATGAACATCAATTAAAGCACATCAATTGCTTTCCCACAGAGCTTCAGTATGTGGCATTGTAGATCACCCTGAAATGGTGTACCAGTGAACCCTTCTGTTGTCAGTGTACCATATGTTGCTTTTAAAGCATATTTTGGGCTTACATTACCAGGTACCTATATTGCCTTTAGAAGATTTTTGCAGATACTTTAGAAGTTTCTTGGGTGGACAGCAAGGAACAAACATGTAATGCAAAAGGAGAAGCATGCAGCTAATACCATCGTTGCTGTGCACAAGAGACAATTTTGATTAGGCAACGTTTGTAAAGCCACTTTTTTACCCTTGGGGCTACGAGGGGAGTGGGAAAGATTAGCATTGCAAGTAACTCTGGATCCTTTTTCAAGACGGGGAAGTCTACCAGTCTACCTAATTGGCTGCCTCTTGTGAAAAGGCCAATTTTTGAGAAAATGGGATTTATTAGAATGCTATTTTCCATAAGTCGTGGCCCATAATTATATAAACGGTTCAAACATTTTTCTTATGTTCAGACTGTGGCAGAAGATAGAATATTGTGGTGGTTAAAACAGTATTGCTTTCTAATGTGATGATAGGAAACTGTGCAATCTCATTTAAAGACTTCCTTAGGAACTTTCCAGCATGTAGCTGCAGGACCTTCAGGGTTTTTTTTACTTTTCTCCTAAGAAGGCTTTTTTAAAAGAAAAAATACAAAGTGTTCCTGAGGTCTCACTATGATTTCAGATGCACTGTACTATGCATTAGTGTTGTTTAGAAAGAAAGAAAGGAGATAAACTTTACCAGTGACTAACTGCTAACTACCTTACCCATAGACTTCAATTTCTAGCAACACATCTTTTTTCTTGCAGTTGCATAGGGTGTAATTTTGCAGTTTGAAAAGTAGTTTTGATAATGGTCTTTCAGTCCCAACTAGCAGAACTGTTCCATGCTCTCCACCCTCCAAATGAAAAACAAGATGGTGTGTCACAAAGTGTAAAAGATACTAGAAGCAGGTGTAGGAAAAGGAAGTGGGACATGCTGGGATATGTAGTTGATAAAGACCTATTTAATTAGGATCACTAACTTAATGAAGAAAATGGACAGTTCTGTTGCAAGTATTTTATGTTCCATTAAAGCACAATTAAGAGCATATTCTTCATTGTCATTGCTTCCCATAATATTGAGATATATATATATATATATAGATATATATATATATCAAATCATATACCATATGATTTGATGGTGCGATGGATCAGCTAACACATCACGGTTTCTGCTGTGCCCTCTCATCTCTGGCTGAACTTTCTATGCCAGGCAACACAAGTGATGTTTTCAATCGGTTCAGGTTTATCAATTGCATCTCTTTTCCTGTCTTTTAGGTATATTGCTATATACCCTTACACTCCTCGAAAAGATGATGAACTGGAACTGCGGAAGGGAGAAATGTTCCTAGTGTTTGAACGCTGCCAGGATGGCTGGTTCAAGGGAACCTCCATGCATACAAGCAAGATTGGTGTTTTTCCTGGAAATTATGTGGCTCCAGTTACAAGGTATAGTTTTATACAAGCATCTAAACAAGTGTATCTAGTTTCAAGTCCAAAATTACTCTGTTCTTGTATTTAATGCTGAAATTGGATAATAGAAGACCTGTGGGTTTTAGTGACTAGCTATTTTTTTCAGTTGTGTTTTAGTGTTTTGCTTTTAATTTTGGCAGGACGGTGACAAGTGCATCACAAACAAAAGTTCCCATGTCTACTGCTGGCCAAACAGGACGAGTGGTAACTATGGTCAGCCCTTCCACTGCTAGTGGAACATCTCAGAAGCTGCAGGGGAATGGTGTGGCAGTGAACTCCAGCACAGTACCCACAGCTGTGGTTTCTGCAGCACATATCCAAACGAGTCCACAAACCAAGGTCCTTATGCACGTGACAGGACAAATGACAGTCAACCAGGCTCGCAATGCAGTTAGAACAGGTAAAAAAGAAAAGCTTGTTGTGTGTGGTAGACAAACTGTAGGGTCTGTCTGGGCAAGTGGTTGGAAGTGAGGGTGTATGTAAATAAGTGTTGGGGTTTTTTTTAAAGCTTTTCTTGATGTCATTGTTTAGAGTTGAATACCTTCTGAAATGACAGTATATTCCTCTGAGTTGTTGAATCTTTTAAGATCTTTAAGAATCCTCTAAGCAACTGTGTGTATGTGCATACTCCCACTGTTTGGGATTTATATGCAAGTACTTTAAGTGGATTTTTTTTTTTTCCCCTCCAGCAGTATCTGGGATGGGGACATTCTTTGAGCTTCCCCACTCATATGCAATTCATATAGTAATAAAAGTGATAAGAACATCTGAGTCATAGCTTATTTTTTTTATGTTAACTGCATAACAGCTACAGATTGCTCTAATTTAGCATTCACTTTTAAATTATCTTCTAACATCTTTGAATACCTTTAGTGTTCATTCCTTCTTCTTTTTCAGGTCTCTGGCTCAGGGTTGGTCCTTAGGCATTCCAGTTTGTTATCTAACCTTGACTGCAACTTCTTTCAGCTTTGAAACACTAAGGCTATATTGGCTTCGAGATCCATACAATCTGTGTCATAAAATTCTGTATTTCTGAAAGGTATAACTCTGCATTTACTGTCTGGGGCAGGCCACATCCCAGTGAAACATGCCTTCTTGATATTTTAATGCAGATCCAAAAAGATTGATAGTGATGCTTTCAAGAGTTTTTGTTTACCAAATCCATACAATCCCCTCTGGATTTCCAGGCTAACAGAATACCACACAACTGGAGCCTAATCTGTTCTAGTTGCTTCAATGGTCTCATAAATAAATTTTTTAAAAATGAAAAAAGGGAAACTCTGTTTCAGAGTACCCCAGTTTCCCCTCTTTCAGCCTTGAGTTTAGGATCTGAGATCTCTTGGCTGAGTCATGATAAAAGGGGGGGGAGTTTATTCACAAGATTCCTATTGGCAGAGCAGAGGAGAAAGCAAAAGATGCAAATGGTACGATCTGTTACCCCTTAAGAATCCTTATTTCTTGTGGTCTCAAGATCCATGAATTAGCCCACTCCCTCTTCAGAGTCATGCATCTCCTAAAACTCCCCATGTATGTTCAGATGCCAGCCCCACGTTTGCTTTTCCAGGTAGGATATGTACATGTCTTCAGGTGTTTTATTTCCTTAATTGGCCCCATCTTTCTCCAGTCTGATCTTAGGCTGGAACAGATGTGATAATCCTCTCTAACAACTTTATTCTTTACCTTTAGATGAAAACAACCAGATGCTGTTGGCAGCTGGTAAGAGAAATGAAGCAATGCATCTGTACTTTGCTGCCTCTCAGGCATAGGTGGTTTCTACTCTAAACTCTTCTTTTGAGCTGCCTAGAAGCTTGCAAGTGACAGCATAAAGGAGAAAGCTCCTGTGGGCTCCAGAGCCCTTTCTGTCCCTGCATCTCTGCACTGCTGTCAAGATAAATAAGCCTTTACACTTCCATTCAGCTGGCAAACATGGCAACATACTTCCCACCAACTTTTCAGGCCCAAAATGGAAAATTCAGAGGGGCTGTATCTCTTTGCAGAGAACTTAACATTGGATTGGATTAGCATTGTGGTGTAAAGTTGTACTGGTCAGTCACAAATAAAGATTTGTCCCTTTTAAGGGCTAACTGAAGCAATAATAGCTGCTTTATGTTCAAATGTTACAGAGAACTCTGTAGTCAGCATCTGAAACATGATCATCCTGAGCTTCCCCAAGCACCTTTGCTGAGTGTTACTCTCTTGATGAGGCTTCACAGATCAATTCTGCATTTTGTGGGGCTGTTCTCCAGTTTCAGTTTAGCTCAGGGCTTCAAGGACCCTTCTCCAGATGATCTTAGTGAGACATTGCTTGACATCACGTTTGCTGAGGGAGTGTGCATCCTTTGATTGAAAGGAGCTATGAAGAGTACATATATTCTGCCTATTTCCTTAAAGGATAAACTGTATGAAAATAGGGTGATGAAGCATTCTTCCTATCAAATCCATCAAGGATAAGAAAACAAAACCAGAAAGCTATGCCATGCTTGTAGTACATAAATTGCATGTGAGTGTAGATGTATCTTGAAGAATAGCTGCTACTTATAAGAAAACTGTCATTGTCTCATGAACAAAAGGCAGCATTAATAATTGGGTTTTGTACAAAAAAAGTTCTTGCTGCATTCTCCTTATCTTCCTTTTCATTCTGCTCAGAGTTAGGACAGGTCTGCTACAGGAGAAGAGGTTATCTCTCAGAAAATAGACATAGCATTTAGTGTGCTTTTTTTTTTTCTTAAAGGAAGAACTTGTGTTTCTTGTCACAGCGGTTGTAATTGGTTATAAGACTGCAGGATTATTATATAAATTTGTGAACTTTTTCAATCTTCTGTAATCCACAGTTGCTGCAATCTAATGAAATCACCAGGGGAATGTGTAGAAAGCAAAACAATGAAAGCAAGTGCTGGAGGACTGATTCCAGGATATCACTTGTAACAAATCTGAACCTCTAATTAGTATCTGAAAAATTAGAATTAAATGATACATTTGAGGTGTACATGCACCAAGCTAGAGGGATGACTCCTCCTTTGATGCAGAGTTTCAATGAATTTGAAGGAGAGAGTCTGTGCAGCACTGGGATGCTGCATTTTGCCTCATATTGCTCAGTTAAGATGCTTGCACGTCATACCACCCAGTGGCACAGAGATGCCCAAGCTGTTGAAATGACCCTAGAGTAAGTATGGTTGACCATATGACTGTAATAGCAATGTTCCTTCTTGAAAAGGATAAATTAGTTCATGCAGAGCTCTGTGCTTTGCAGCTCGGCTGCAGCCCAGGTTAGTATATTCAGCCCTGTGCTATTCTCCAGCTTCCAGTGTAGATGTTCCTTTTATTTCACAGGGTATGAGTAAATCAACTTCTATATTTAAACATCCCAAGAGACAATAGCGTACGTTTTCAGAGAAACCACTCATAGCAGTAATTGCCACTGTACTTACTGTTTGAAAGACCCACTAAATCTGTTGTGGATTTTGTGAATAGTTTAGGGAAACAATCCAATTATATTTTTAGCAGCTTCTATGAGGAATGTTTCTTCCTACTTTCCTTTATGTGCCCTGACAACTACACAGCATATTAAAGGGAGCAAACAAGTTCCAGGCAGTATTTTGCTAGCTCTTACAAACTAAAATGTAATCTTCACTTTGCATCTCTGCCTGTATGTGAAAGTTTGAATTTCTCCACAGCAGTTGCAGTGCTGTTACTCTGTTGCACACTGGTGCAAGTAGGGTAGCATATGCTACTACTTAATTCTGGTGCGATGAACTTGATGCTGTACAACATGTCACTGTAGTAATACAAATGGAAGTTAAGAACGTAGGAACAAAGCTTCCTGTGACTGATTAGCTGTAACAGTTACTGTGCCTCACTTTGTGTGTCTTGTGAAAAGATGAACTCCTTCACGTTTTATTCTTTTGTTCTAGTTTCCTCACATAGTCAAGAAAGACCTACGGCTGCAGTCACTCCCATACAAGCACAGAGTCCAGCATGCCTTATTCCTGCAGCTGTGATCATTCCCCACCATTCCACTGCCTCCCAGCAGCTCCAGCCCCAGCTGCCAAACAGTGCTGCTTACGTCACGGCTGTGAATGTGAACCGATCCACCATCCCACTGGCATGTGCAGCAGCTTCTTTGAATTCTCCTAACATTGCTGCTTCATCTTTGGAGGGAGACATTAGTGGAAAAACTATAAACACTCACTCTGGAGCTCCTGCATCTCCAGAGGGTGCTTTAGCATCTGGTGGAAGTGCTGCTGTCAGTAAAGCAGACAAGGATGGCAAGGTGGGTGGAGAATAAAATCATTCCATTGAATTCTCCTATTTCTGTCATACAGACTTTTAACAGATCCAACGACCCAACAAAAAAACCCCATGCATGAACATAAAAAGTTCAGTCTAATAAAATAAGTTGAAAATCAGTATTTTTAGGTTGCTTTCCTTACTATGCAAATATACTGAGAGATTATGAAAAGCACATTACCAGCAATGTTTATTGGACAAAGAAAGAATGCACATAACTGTCTTTTTTAAATATAGGTCAGTAGAATCTGTAGTGATTCTGCTTTCCTTCCTTCTATTTGAAGTATTTTACTGTGTCTAAACTCATTCTCTCTGTCTGCCAACCCATGTGGTTATGTTATATTGTAAGATAGGTTCCTCCAGCTTTCTAATTGATTTTGTTTTGCATTTGTGGTGTAGTTAGAAATTTCTTTCTCCTTGTGACAACTGTCTTTACATCTCAGATGTCTTAGCCTTTAACTTACTACTCTTCAGCCACATGCACTCCTTAATGAAGTTTATGAAGACTTTAATCTTAGGCTGTACACTAATCTCACTGACTTCTTAGTTATTTTTGTTGATTACTGTTGAATGGATGTACCTAGAACTTTGTTTTAAAATTACTTTAGCCATAGACATTGAAATCAGACTGAGGTGCCCTTAGGCAGGGCTTTAGGTAAACTTATTTATAGTTTAAGGTGAATGATGCTAATATATTTGGACTGTTTTAATTTCCCTGAGCTTCTTTTTCTTTCCCATTTGCTAGAATGGGAAAGCCATTTTTCTTTGCTGAAATAGCTTTAAGGAGACTTGGAAAAAGGACTGAGGATTTTTCATTCCCAATTCCACTGCATCCCAGACTCTTAACAAAAATCTCACACTGCTCATGCTTTTCTCTGTCTGTGGTTAAACAGCCTATTTTTGTCTCCAGGGCTTACAATCTGGCACCTCTCATAAGCACTAAATTCATTTAGTCAAAGAGTTGGTAAGAAGATCACTGCCACACCCCTTAAAAAAAAAAGAACAAGAAACAGAAAAGCTACTTAAATAATTCTCTTCTGGGTAGGTGAGTCTTCAGGGATTCCTGTCTGGACAAGCAAAAAGAATGTTTACAATCCTCCCCTCTAGCAGAGCAGCAAAACACAATACGTTCCCCTTAGGGCAAATTTTTGTTAAATTGTGAAGGTCTTCCCTAACTGAGGAAGGATAAATAAAAGAAACTTATCTAAACAGTGGCTTCCAGAGAAGATTTTTCTCCCTGCGTGGTTTAAAATTATTCTTTATGTCTTCCTAGAAACATCCATGTTAACAAAATGTTTTACTTCTTAGATTCCCATTGTGGGAATCTTAACTCCTCACACCTTTTTCTAGACAACCTTTTGGAACAGAGCCACTAGATTTTAAGTTAAGTCTTGACCTAACAAACTAAGTGGAAGGACTTAGCCACTTTATGGTCTAAATTATTTACTTTTTTCTTTTTAGAATGTTACTAATTTTCTTTTAGAATTTTCACCATTTCCTTTTTTAATTTGTACAATCTCAATTATCCCCTCATAATTTACTGAGTCCTTTCTGAGCACGATGTCATCTTTCAGAAGGAAGTGTTCAACTTTTTACAGGAGGCTTTTGTTCTAAAATGAGGCACTGCTTTTGGTTTACAGAAAGAAAAAAAGGGTTTGCTGAAACTACTTTCTGGAGCATCCACTAAACGCAAACCTCGATTGTCACCTCCAGCATCACCAACGCTGGAGGCTGAGCAAGCAGCTGCAGAGTTAGCCCTGCAAGGGGCAGTGGGGCTAGAGCTGCCATCAGCAGGCACTCACAGCAAAGCTGGATCCTGTCCCTCCGACAGCGAGGCCTCTGCGCTGCCACAGGAGACACTGCATCGCAAAACCAGTTCCCTGGATTCCTCTATTCCAATAGCACCACCACCTCGGCAGCCTTGCTCGTCCCTGGCTCCGGTCCTGAATGAGTCCAGGCCTCTTGTTTGTGAAAGGTAAGTTATCCTATGCAGCCAAACTTGGGCAAACCAAGAAAAAAATCCATCCTCTGGCACTTGGGTATATTAGAACTGCTTCAGAATGCTGAGATTTTATGCAAGATGAAACTTACTTTTTAACAATGCTTTATTTACTTACCAGCCAATAGGTATGTGTATATTTGTTTACTTTTCATGCTACTTTAAAGTTTTGGAGTGAACAGACACTCAAATGCAATGATCAAAGGTTTGATATGAGAACTGAGGTAGCTAAAATATGCCTCCTATTTTGCAAAACATGAACACATTATATTATTGCATTTACGAATATCAGATTAGTCCTTTAAGATCATTAGCAGTGGATAGATGCCAACCAAAATGTATGGTGAGTGAGATCTTTATCAATGAATAGGCTTCTTAATATGTGATTTCTTGAGCTGTTGCAAAGATCCTTTTATGCCCAAATGCCCTGTGACTGTGCACTGCACATAGCAAGGTCCAAGGCAGCCTCTGTGTTCTGGCAAGTGAGCCTGAAAAACATATAGTTGTCTGGACTCAGAAACTGACAGGCAGTTGCTTTAAAGTTCTGTCACTTTTCTTTTATGTCCACCTATTGTTTTTCAGTTTCTAAGTCCTCAGTAGATTGCACAGACTGTGAAGGAAGTGGCAATTTTCTAACTACTGTCTCTTTCATTATTCCTGGTAGCAGATAAGCAATATGAAGAGTGCCATGGGATTTCTTTTGCAGTAGCTACAGGATTGTTTGGTGTACAGAAAAATACAGTAGACTGCAATGCTAACAGCTCTAGGACTGAACTGATTCAAGCTGACTCTTGTAGACTTTGTTCTGATACTATTAACTCATGGTGTGTGGGCATCCCCTGGTATTTTCAGAGGCCCATTGATCTTTAGCTATAAACATGTATTAAGATGCAGACAGTATATAACTTTCTACTTGTCTTTTATTTCACTTCTGTCATACCTTTAATATTTTTCAAAAGGTTATTACTGTTTCTATGCAATTTCCTTGCAGGAAATTTCTATTTCATACTAGATTTCTGAAGTAGATTTACACTTAGAGATGGAAAATAAAACCTGGAAGACTTTTCTTTAAGAACAATGTACTTTATTTTCACATTATCATAATTCTGTTTGGCACAGTAATGTTTTTATGCTTTGAATGTGAAAATAATATTGAATTCATTTTTACATGAGTAGTGAATGTTAGTGTAAAGCTCTTTGCATCCTCACAAAAAGTAGTTTTTCACTTCATGATGAATTTTTTCTCAGAACTACTTATAGAAAATGATGCTGTGTATTTTTATTGATCTAGTAATAACAAACATTCTCTGTATCCTTACTGTTATTTAGATGATAATTGCTACTGGTGAAGTGTTAGCACAAGGTCATTCTCACTGGTGGTCATGCAGAATTGTTACATTTTTGTCAGTGTATTTAAATAGAATTTCATCTGGGTTCCTTTCATCCT